GTGTGTGTGTGTGTGTGTGTGTGTGTGTGTGTGTGTGTGTGTGTGTGTGTTGTAATGGGGAGGTGCATCCTTTGGCTGAGCCCTCCCCTTTTCTGTTCCTCCTGAAGATTTCTAGAAAGGACGTATTGATATGCCAAGAGCCCAGTTATGAGGTCATCAGGTCATCCACAGTGGTCTAGTGAGAGTAGCCAAGGGCAGGCCTAGGTTCTGCAGGAAGGTCTCATAGGCTATGAGCCTCTTGCTCAAGGTGGGAGAGCTGGTGACTCTAGTCTCAAGGCCCTGGGAGTCTAGCAGGAGGCAGGTGGGCCCTTCCCTGTACTTTTGGAAAGGGACTGTGTCCTCTAGCCCAGCATGCAAGCTAAGTGGACCTTGCTGCTCGTTCTTGGGCCAAGCCTGAGCTGTGGAGAGGATGGGCCTTAAGGGAAGCACCCCCATGGGTAGGGGGTTGTTGGATATTGTCTTCAATTGTGGGGTACCTGGGGAGCAGAGCTAGATGGGTGAGGCAAGTTGCCTGCCCATCAAGCCACTCTCCCAGACTGTGACTCCTATTTTCTTGGGCATCTCCCAGGTCTTCTTTTTAGGTTGTCCCGCTGTTTCTGGGCGCTGTTCTGGACCCTAGTCACATTGCTATTCTGGGCCCAGCCCCAGATACTTTAATGATGTCATGTCCTCATAGCTCTCTGGGTCCTTCCTGGTCACTAGTTTTCTCCTCAAAACCTAGAGCTTGGAGAAGACAGCTGCCTGGGGTAGAGGAAGGGACAGATGAAACCAGGATCATAGGCTTGGATTCATGTTTCATCCCGCCTATGGCTAGGGGCAGAGTGCTAAGCAGGCTGTGTCCCAGTGGTAAAGTGGGTGTCAAGGACCGAGCACAGCACTCCTGGTGCAGAGAAAGGTTTCTAGGTTGTAACCTGATGGTGGTGTCCAGCTTGGAGCCCAGTGCAGAGTGGTGGCATTGCCCTAGCACTTGGCTCTTGGGAATCCATATTTAGTGTGGGGTGGGGGAGGGGGATAACTCTTTTAAGTACCAGACAATGACCCTGGGCAGGGACTGTCTCCATACAGCTGCTTCTCCTGTGTGTGTGAGCTACAGCCTCCCCCCGCTTCCCCCAGTTTCTGGCCTCTGCCCCCATCCAGCTCCCCTGATGGTCTCCTGTACAGGAGGACATTGTGTGAAGTTGCCTTCACCCTGTGGGGTCGGGGCATGTGTGGGGAAGGAGAGGCTGCAGTGTCTTGTCCTTGGTGGGCTGTTTGCTGAAGGACCCTCAGGGCTGGAGTGACACATTGAAGCCAGCTTTGACAGGAAGAGAGGAAGGCTGGGCATCCTGGGGACATGCATCCCTGGGAGAGGATTCCAAACTGACTTGTCAGAAGTCCATCTATCAGACAGCTGCTGTTGGGGCCTGAGGGACATGTAGACGTGGACCAGCTCAGGGCCTGGCCTTGTACTGTTCTTAGTGTTTTGTTAGAATTGCTTCTCCAGGGGGAGGGGAGTTCCCCACACATCACATCTCCTGCTGGCCTCCTTATGGCCCTGTCTGACACTCCCAGCAACCTCCATCCTAGATGATTAATGATGGCCAAGTGGGCCAAGCATTCAGTCTGTCTCCTGGGGTCTGCACTGGCCTTGGCTGTTTGTCTGTACTTCCTAGAACTAGGCTTTGTCCTCTGCAGTGGGTCCCCATAGAAGCCCCATGGCATCTCACCGTATTAGAGGACTGTGCCCAGGTCTGACAGGACTGAATCTGTGGGGTGCCTGCCACAGCCTTGGCTCTGCTCGGTGAAGATGCTGTGTGTGACAGTGCTGCCCACTTTCACATCCATGCCACACTTGAGGTCCTGGCAGCCAATCTGAGAACCCCACCAATGTACCCTCTGGCATCTTACATTGATGGATAGGCAGGTGAGGATGCGTCAGCCTTTTCACGTTGAGCATCAAGATGCCAAGGTGTCTTAGTGGCTTGGTACTTATTCATGTGGAGTCACTGTACTGGGGCCTGAGCTGCAGAGGGACCCAGGCCCCACTTTTTCCTTTGTGTCCAAATCCCCGACACAGTGGGGCACGCCTCATGTGAAGATCATTTCCTCTTCTGTTTAAATTGAGGTGAACTTCCCATTATGAAGATCAACCCTTGGCGCTCAGGCTTCAGTGGTACCTACAGCGCTTTTGTCTCCTTGGTGGAGATCCCCGTCATCAGTGGTGGTTCACAGCACCAGCTTGTCATCTGCTTTCTATATTGTGACTTGTCTCATGCGAAAAGCGTGGCGGCCCAGTGTGTGGCCCCTGGGACCAGCTCCCTTCACTTCTCACAACCTGGGAACCCGTAGGGGCTGCTCCAAGGAGTGACATTGACGTGAGGAAGGCAGAGCATTACAAAGAGGGATATGGAGCTATTCCCTGAGGGTGTCCTCGTGAACCATTGCAGGGACATCCCAGTGGACCATGGAGTTGTCCTAGTGCACTGTGGAGGTGTCTTAGTAAGCTTGTCATAGGGGGTGGATATCCTTGTGAACTGTAGGGACATCCTAGTGAGCCGTGAGTGCACTTAAGGGGGCCAAGGTCCAAGGTGTTTTTTCCCCCAAAGGCACATGAGGGTTGCATATATTGTCTTGAAATGACAATCCTTAGCCACCAGAATCAAAACATCAGGGATGATGCCAGCCAAGACCGCAAGGGCAGCTACTTGGTGGACCTCTGTGCTAGGCTCTAGGTCTGCCTCCAGTGGAGTCAGCTGTGAGGGTTCTTGCTTCAGATGTGCGTGCACGCCAATGTCACAGCCTCCCAGCTACATTGAGAGGATTTCGTGAAAGCTCCTACCCAAAGCATGGAAATCCTGTCTTTGCAGGCCATCACTCCCAGGAACAGGTGATAAACGGACATATTCACAAGTGCTATGGAGGGCAGGGCAGACCTCAAAGGGGCAATTTACACAAGAGTGATGGGGGCTCTCTACTGAACAGTTTACTAAGAACTTGAAATGTAGCACGAGGACCTTCCTTAGCCATCCCCACCTCTGAAATGTCTCCATCACTGCCCAGATGGCCAACTGGCCCTGGTTATGTACATAGAAGGCTACTCAGCTGGGGAACCTGCCCACTCTGCCCTGCTCTCCTGGTTCCTGGTTGTGACGATTGTTACAGCCTGGGAGGGAGAATAGGGGTGAGTGCTCTGGCTTCTGTCCTGGAGCTCTTGTGTGTGGAATTTATGTGGCATTTGCTCTTTCCCATAGCCCCTGTGGGCCGGGGCTGGAGACAGGAACCCTGAGATGGGTTCCTGAGGGTTACATATCCAGTTGTGGATGACCCCCCAGTGTAGGTGATAAGGGCTGTGGGGACCCAGAGCAGAGCTCAGGCTAGCCCAGGACTGAAGGGAGCTACTCAGGGCTGCTCAGGATAGGGCCCCCTAGCAGCTGCTATGGTGACAGGGTAGCAAGTGTCTATCCTGGGTACCAGGCACTGTGAGCCTCACTGTGTGCCAAGCTCAGGGCTCATGCAGAGCCCCTGAGGCTCTGAGCTGCAGGGGACATTCTCACTCTGGTGTCCGCTTGGCCAAGGTATGGTCTTGTAAGGTTCCCTAACCTGGACCCAGGACCCATACAGTACTGTGAGAGGACCTTGGTCTGTGACCCTGACCTGCAAGTCCCCACTGGCCTCCTCTCCAACTTTCCACACAGTGGTCTGAATGACAGGACAAGCCTAGAAGCTGTATTGTGCCTCATATCCTGTCCCGCCAGCCTGGCTTTGGTGCTGTCTCCTCAGGCCAGCAGACAGGGGACCCTAGGCACCCCAGCCATGACCTCTGCTGAGACTCTGTGTAACTCTCCAGGAATTCCTAAGAAATTCCCACTGTAGACTTTACAGCGCTGGTGGCTGCATTCCAAGACTCCAGAGGCAGCTGGCCAGTGTCCTTTGGCCACTACTGTTCTCATGGGCCTGTGGGTATCTCTGAGGTCCTTGGCTTAGCTTCGGGAGGTTCTTCTAGGGGCCCTCCTGAAGAGATACTAGGGCCCCTGGGCAAGCTTTGGGCCAGCTCAGGCCTGAGAGTGCCTGCACCTGGTTCTGTCTACTACCTGTGCACAGCTGGGAAGGGTTTGGCTTCCCTTCCAGCAATAGCATATGGCAGGTAGAATAAAGGCCTAGCCATGTGTGCCTATGACATGTTGGGGTATCCCTCGCCCTGAGCCTGCCTCAAAATTACAGGGGAGAGCTCAGCGCTTGGAGATCAGTGGTTGGGGACACTGGAGGAGCCTCCCTGGACTCAGCTGGAGGCAGTCTGACCAGGCCGTAGACAGAGGCGCTGGATACTGACTCAACACATGATGGTCTACACATTCGTGAACTGTTCTAACACCCCTGAGCCTCCTCAGAACCCTGGCCCCTTCAGTCCAGGACTTGCCAGATGGGGTGAAGCACCATTGCTCCTGTGTAAGACTGGACCCAGGCAGGAGTCCCCCACCTCAGCTGGCCGTATGCCTCCTCAATAGCCACCCATGCTCTGTACCCGTAAGAGCTGGTGGAGGAAAGGGAGCCGTGGACTCAGGACATGGCTCATTGCCTTCCCTAGCCTGACACAGCTCCACCTGATCCTAAGAGCATAAAGGGAGACCAGAGCTGTCATGGTGGGACTAGGGTGTTGATTCCATTGGCAAGGTCCTGGCAGCTGTGAAGAGGGATCATGTGGGGTCCTCTAGCTTCAGAGCAAAGGGAGGCTGGTTTCTTGGAAAGCCCGATGCTGCACAGGTCGTCCACCACAGCACACAGGATGCTCTGGGGCTTACACCATTGGTTGTAGCTGCTCAGATAGTGTCCTTTAGACCCATTACACTGGATGCTAGGAGAGCCACTTCCCTGGGTGCCTGGGTGGAGGAGAGGGGATGGCAGCATGGCTCTGGGCCTGTTCATTGGGTCCCTCTTTGGGGCCTGTCCTGTTAGCTAATATCCCCCATCCCTTGGGGACTGAGTTTCCATGGCCAAGTGTTTATCTGCTTTTCTCGCCACAGATGTAGATGAGTGTGCCAATGCCAATGGGGGCTGTGAAGGCCCATGCTGCAACACTGTGGGCGGTTTTTACTGCCGCTGCCCACCTGGCTACCAGCTGCAGGGGGATGGCAAAGCCTGCCAAGGTAGGACCTGTCTGTTGCTCTGCCCTGGGGAGGGGAGGTGGGAGAGTCGGTGGTGGGAGCCAGGGGCAAGCCCAAGCTAGTACTAGGTGCTAAAGTCCCGATGGGGGAAGGGCCCACATCCCTGTGGATGCCAGGCGACACGGATGGGAACCTCGCCTGTCAAGGACTGTCAGAGGCCTGGGGCTGGAAGCAGCTTGCCAGCTCTGAACCGGCCCCTTTAACTCCGCCCCAGCGTTGCTGGCTGGCTGTCGGCAAAATCAAGACCAGACAGAAGGCGATCCTGAGGAGACACAGGGAACAGAGCGGGGAGGGGGCAGGAGGATGGAGGAGGCCCTGCTGTCCCCAGCCCCTCATTCTCTGACTGCCCTGACATCTGAACCCAGGGCTGGTTTGAAGAGCTGAGCCTGTTGGAGTGTTTGGGGCCATTGGTGGCCAGGGTTCTGGGCCTGGGTCAACAGCCTGTCTGCTCCCTGTATCAGACGGTCACTTTCGTCTCGTGCCCTAGAATGTCCTCAGTTAAGTGTCACACTGTCCCCAGCCATCCAACTACCCATCTGTGAGCCATCTGCCCACAAGTGGGGGCCTAGCCTGCTGGACTTGGGGTTGAGAGAAGCACTGAGGCGGGGGTGTCTGCTCTGCATGAGACATTCTGGAAGAATGGATTCCCATGGTCTCCTTTCTAACTTGCTCTTAGGCCAGCAGGAGGTTGGAGGTGGGGAATGTTGCTGTGACCTAGGGTCATGTCCCAGCTGTGGGGCAGCCCTAGGCCTGTACCTCCATGTGTCTAGCCTAAAGGGAAGTAAGTATGGGTTTGGGGATAAAGGTTCAGTGTCTCAGGAGGGCAGTACAGATCAGGGTTAGTGATTGTGTCTGTGTCCCCATGCCTGTGCGGTCAATCACTGATGACGCCCGCAGAGCTGAGACCTCTGCTTGCGGGTCCACTTGGGCCCCATCCAGAACTTCTTGCCAGCAGAGATTTGGGGCTTGGGTTGGCATTAGAGAGGGCTCGTGATTTGAACTGGCTTAGTAAGTCAATTTGAGGGAGCAGCTTGCCCCCACCCCTGTTCTTGTATCTCTATGACATGGCTATGCGTAAATACACGAGACCTTCAGTGGGCCAGAGTCCCCCACTGTGACCTAGAGATGTGTCCTAGGGAGACTGGCTGGTCCCCATCAGTCACAGAGCCTGGATAGACTCCTTCTTCACCGTAAGCTGAGGTGTCTCCCTCTGAAGGAGGGGGTGATTGCTAAGCTGGTTTAAGGGGCAAACTGAAAGACTTGGTACAGACCTGGCCCTGGAAGGCTTGCTGTGAGCCAGTTCATCTAATTAAGTATTGGTTATACCCTCCCCACTTGCCACCTGCCCCGCAACTCCCTTTCCAGATGAAATCAGACTCCCTAGCCCAGCCAGGCGTTGGTGGCGCACGCTTTAATCCCAGCACTCAGGAGGCAGGGGCAGGCGGATCTCTGTGAGTTTGAGGCCAGCCTGGGCTACAGAGTGAGTTCCAGGACAGGCTCCAAAACTACACAGAGAAACCCTGTCTCAAAAAACAAAACAAACAAACAAAAACAAAACAGACTCCCTAGCCCCATGGCTTCCTAGATGGGGTGGCCTGAGGTGGCTGTCCACTGTCCCCAGAGCCTCACCTTACCTGACTGGGAGTCTGGAAATCCCCACTCCTCAGTGCCACACAGAAAGCCGGGTCAAGGGCTCTGCTGAGCAGTGAAGATTCCCAGCATTCCTCTGGTCTGACTCCTGGAGTGTATGGTGTATGGCAGTTATCTGTAGGGCTGACCAGTGCCTGGCCTGACCTAGCAGTCACTCCTGCTGATGTCTATACCTATCTGGCAGCTCTTACACAAGGGTAAATACTCAGAGCCCACTGTCTCTAGGGCCAGGCCGTGATGTGCCAGGCATAGGGTCCCTCCTGAGCCTGTAGGGAGGACCTATCATAGCCATGAAGACACCCCAGAAGTTCTTCACATGGATATCAGATTGTGGGCCAAAGAACTCAGTGTCAGGATGAAATGGTGCTTGGGGTAGGCGGGTGCTTCTCGCCACCCAGGGTTCTCTCTGCCTAGCATACCTGCTCCAAATTTTGGTTAGTTGCTTTGGGGTGATGCAGTGGGCCAGACAGACCTTGGCTCTGCTGACCCCATATCTCTTATAGCCTAGAAGAGTGGGTTAGAGGCTCTACAGTGGAATTCCAAGCAGGTATGTATTAAGGCATGGGAAAGGATGACTCCTAAAGACCTACAGAGCCCCAGAGAAAGGATTGCTACCTTCTCAGCCCATTTACACCTGTCCTGTCTAGGAGAGGGATGCTCTTGGGTGTGTATTAGGGGTTGCTTCCCATCATCTTCCTCCCAGAAGCTGGAGTTTGTAGTGTGTGCCCTGGAGCTGGTGTGCTGTGTTGATGGCCATCCAAGTGGGACATGATGTTTGGGAGCCAAGCACAGTGCCAGCAAGCCAACCAGGCCAGCCTCCACTTACGTGCCCCAGGTATGAGGTAGAAAGAGGGCAGAAGAAGGTGACGACCCAAGGCCAAAGCTGGCATCCATGGGTGCTGCTGAACTCGGGCCTTGCTTGTGCTAGGCAAGCCCTCTAAGCTGTACCCTCAGCCCTCTTTGAAACAAGGTCTGACTAAATTACCTGGGCTCTCCTGGATCTCACTCTGTGGCCCAGGCAGGCCTAGAACTTGAGACCTTCATGCCTCAGCCTCCTGAGCATCGGGGAATGCAGGGCTGTGGCTCCAAGCTTGCTTCTGTTCCTTTCTCAGACACTGGAGTCTCTGGGGTCCCTAAGGGTAGACCAGGTCCTTGCCTCTGGCAGAGGTGGGTAGAGGCAGGGACATGACCAGATGTCCGAGTCTTAGGTAGAGGATGGATTGGCCTCAGACCTTGCATTCCAGCAGCACCCGCCTTCTCTCTCCTTCCTGCCTCTTCCCCGGCCCCGGCCCCGCCTCCCGTGGGGTTCATGCCCCAGCGCTGCGAGCTTGGGATGATTGGAGTTCTAAGTCACCTCATGGCCAAGGGGCCTCTGCTGAGAGCCAGGAGCCTGCTGTGTTTTCTGTGTTCTCTGCCAGCCCGGCCTCCTCTGGCAAATCAGTGAGGCAGCATAGCTTGTGAGGCACAGGCTGCCTGTGTGTGTGAGCACAGGCTGTAGGAAATGAAGACATCCCAGGAGGGAAGGACGGCCTTGCTTGCTCACGTGGGGAGGTGTGTGCAGAGTTGATGGTGGGGTGAGCCCAGAAACCGCTGTGAGTGATGAATAGTCACTGTAAAACTGAGTACTGGCATGGGAGTCTGGCCGGAGGTGTCTTGGCCCCGGCCCTGAGACCTGGTCCAGGCTGGGTGTGCATCATGTTTTGGGACAGGGCCGAGTCCATTCAGCTGGACTGGGTGGCCAGAGCGACACCAGCCACTGCTTCTGCCATGCTGGGTGGAATCTGGTCTCTGCTCTGGACTAGTCCTGAATAGGTAGGCCCAGGTCCATGTGTGATAGACCTATCAGGCTCTTCAGTGATACTCATTTTATTTGTTATTTATTTTGTGTGTGTATGCCTGTTTGCATGTCTGTGTATGTGCATGCCCGTGCACACGAGAGAGAGAGAGAGAGAGAGAGAGAGAGAGAGAGAGAGAGAGAGAGAGAGAACATCCTGTGGTACTCCTTGGTCTAGAACTCACCAAGTAGGCCAGAAGCCAGTGAGCCCCAGAAGTCTCCAGGTCTCCCCCTTTCCAGATCTGGGAGTACAAGTGCATGGCACCACACCCGGCCTTCCTGCTAAGGTGGCAAATACTGGCTGAACCATCTTTCTCATCCTCAACAAAGCTCCTTTCTGTACACTTCAGGGCCCTGAACTCACCTCCACTTCCACTAAGTGTCTGTGGCAAAGCCATTCCAGGGCTCGCCTTTGGTGTCGTGAGGGTGGAGCCTGGACTTGGGCCCCCACTAAGGTGTGTGTCTGAGCAGTAAAACAGGCCAAATAGGACTCTCAGCTCTTATGTCATTAGAGGATCGAGAGGAAGTGCTTAGAGCTGAGGCCGGCATCCTTCCAGCAGATTGCCAGTCCCCAGGCCAGCTCTAGAGGCGGATCATGGATGGAGATGTTCTGTTGCTTATGGATGACCAGCCTGTGTCCTGGGCCAGCACCTTCCTCTGCCTTAGCCTTCCCTAGGTCCTGATGGGGGCAGATCCGACATCATGCCTGGGGCTCCTGGCAAGTTCAGGCAAGCTCCAAGGCCATAGCTTCCCTTACCTTGTTCCTGCTTTGGCTGCCCTCTGGCTTAGAGTTCATTTCTTAAACATTCTCATCAGTAAGGTGGGTCCAGTCCTTACATTACACTGAATGAATGACCTGGAGGCTCTTGTAATATTGTACCAAGGAGAATTATTCTGTCTTATTCTGAGAAGTTAGTGCTGTCAGGCAGGTGGCCAGGGCTTCTCATGGAGAGCTTGGGAGCTCTTCCCGAGTCAAGTCTACAGGTCTGCCCTCCTATGCAGGGTGCAGCTTTGCAAGAGATGCCCCAGCTGAACCCACTCCTGCCCCGAGATGAAGGAGACTGGGAAAGCGGATGACCACTGGTGCCCAGGACGGAGCTGGACAGGGCTTTCTCTGGGGAGATGGACAGCTCTCCTGGGGGAGGCTTGGTGTGCTGACCCAGGCCCTTCTCTTCCCCTCAGCTGTAGGGGTTTAAGAGTAGAGATGGGATCACCATGGGATGTTCCTGAGAAGCCTGTGGGCTCCAGCTCTTCACGGACACTATGTCATCCTCCCCAAGGAGGCTCCCCCAAACCAGGCTTCCCAAGAAGCCCATCTCACCCGCTCTCAGCTGTCACATTTCTGTCACACCCACAAATGTTGCCTGAGAGCTCCGCCAGGTCCTCTCTGTCCCTAGGGAGAGGAAGGAACGTGGGAAGTGAATTGCAGTTCTGATTAGGAAAGGCTGACAGCGGCTGACCCAGGCCAGCTGTCCTGGTCCACAGGGAGGCCAGTGCT